GGAAATAGTCTCAAAGCTAAGTACTCTGGGAAATAAATTCAGAAATATGCTGATTTGCCACATGAGGTTTTTCACAGAGCTCTTTCAGGAATACAGACAAGGGAACCCAGTCTGAAACAGTTACAGAAGGAGGAAGTCAGTGCCACAGAGAACCTTAGATCAGAAAAAGTTAGACCAAGTTGGATAAAGACAGCACAAGCCCTACTCATGCTCGAAGCAACATTCAGTGTTCCCTTGAATCATATACTTTGGGAAAAGCCCTTAAGATCATTGCAATGTTCCAGTTCACACTAAGAAAATGTAACTAAACAGTGGCCTAAAACTGCCATTAGGAAGAAATCTCTGATAAGTATTTTAATTGGCCTTATGCAAGATCACGAAGACACTGTGTTTGAAGACCAAAAAAAAAAAAAACCACAAAACCCAAACCCAAAATTACACCATAAGAACAAATGATTGTCAGAAGTAAAAATAATTCAATGTTAACAAAATGTAGGAGATGTTATAAAACAAAGGGAACACTATAATTCACTATCCATATAGTCCATGTTCCCAGAAACTAATATCAGATCCTCTCTAATAGAGACAAAATTCCCACTCAGAGAAGAACAGAGGTTCTCAAATGGTTTGTATGCCACTTGCACACTTTTATCAAATATTTTATATCTTAAAAAATAACTTATATAGTCCAATAATTTCTGCCTTTATTTCAATCCTTTATCAATGTTTTTTTATTTTTTCACTGACAGCAAAACTTAACTCTGCCTTAACAAAGTTTCACCCATTTAAACAATTCTCAGAGCATTTACACAGTCTTCCTCTACAGAGCACAGGTAAATAAACAATTTATGCTGCTACTAAACAGAAATTGCATGCCTTCTGGTCCCTCATCATCCTAGCCAGCATGCTGCCAGAAATGAAAGGCAGTGTTTAATGCACATTACACACCCTGCACTGCAGGCAGCAGCCCCCCAAGGCAGGGAAGCAAAAGCTGTGCAGAAGGGGAAGTGAAGTCTCTGTCCTCTGCTGTCACCTCAGTTGTGTCCAGTTCCCACTGCAGGGACTGGCTCTCTTGGCACGGTTCCGCTCTGTCCTTTTTCAGCTGGGCAAAGCTTAGTGCCATGGTACTACCCTAAATACAGATCTCCTGCTACAGACCAATTATTTGAGTGATGGCCAGAATGGAGGGATGCTGCCTTATAATTATACAATACAAACAAAAATCCCTTGATAAGCTTATTTTGAGGACTGTTGATACTCATCAGCTACATTTCCTCCAGCTGAGATTTGAGAATTTATTTTAAGACATGAAACATACAAGAATTGTATTTCACTTCTACTACAACTATTTTTACTTTTAAGAAAAAATAGTAGTTAATGTGCCAAAAATGCCAACTAATCTTTACAAAATCTCTGGCTGCAAGTCAGGGTTATTAGCATTTCCCTCTAACAGGTAGAAAAGCTGAGCTACAGAAGGCCATATGAAGTACCAGCCCTGGATTAGCACTGGAGCTCCAAATCAAAACAAACATCCTTGCCTCTATGGACGGCTGTGCCTCATTTCAGCCAGGGGAGGCAATACAGCTCTAAAAGAAGCATTTAAACTCCTTGCTCCCTGTCCTTTGTGCTGTTACTGGAAATACACCTGCCCCTCAAGCAAAATGCAGATTATGCCCCCAGTGGGGCTCTGCCACTGCATGACTGGCACACTCCCAATCCCGTGTCTCTAGAGGGACTGAGGACATGGGAGGTTATGAACTGTTCTTGCAAAATGTGTCCACTCAGGGGCTGTGCAGTGATTCCTGTCACGGGTTTTGCTGCTTCTTTAGATATAAGGGGGCAATTTCAACCAACCATCAACTTCTCACAAGTAGAAGGCAAAGGCAATAAAAACAATAAAAAGTTTACAGAGGTGATAAATCTCCAGTGCTTAAGGTCCCCATTCAAAAGAAATTCTTATTCAGTGACTTATATATTTAAGTATTATGGAAGTTAATGAAGGCTCTCATGAAGTGATGCTGGTGATTTGTTTGGAAGGCAGAAGCAGGGATACACATTTAGCCTAATTTTCCTTTAAAAAAAATTAACCTTTCAGCATTTTGGGCAATGTTGAGTTCAACAAAAAACTGTGTTCAAGTATTGTGCCCTCAGAAAGGATCTCATGTGAGCAACAGCCTACAGAGCACCACAGAAGAAGTGGAATCTCTCTCTGAAATCCTCTACCCAACTCTGTAAATGCTATAGCCTGTTCTCAGGGCACATCAAATTCCATGGCAACCGGCGTGTATTTCCCCACACTGATGCTGAACCACAGCCTTTTGTTTGGAGTGCTAAATGCAAGTATTCTGAGATGCCCTTCAGAGGGTACCTCAGCAGCTGACCCAGTCATTTGTACACATTTCTTGTACTTGGTGCTTAAATTACAGAATGCTTTTATGTTAGAGCTTTCAACATGGATAAATACCACAGGGTGGTGAGAAAACACAGCCAGCGGTAGAGACACAACCTGGCTCTTATAGACGAGGACACAACCATTGCAGCACGTACACAGTGGAGAACATGTTCAAAGATCTCCTGCAGCATGTGGAGAACCTCCCATGAAAGTTCACATCCCTCAGTACTACAAAAGAGCTCAAAAAAACCAGAAGATGAAGCAGAGCAAAACACTCAGTGGTGCATCTCCAGACCTTAGGTACGGTGTATTTTGCCTCTTGCCAGGCAGAAGAGGCCTGGTGGGCCACTCTCTTGAGGGGTACTGGCTATGTGTAGCACACCCTTAGATAAGCGGCGCGGTTCCACAAGAGCCCATCCTTCACCATCGCTTTGTGCTACAGGAGCATCAGAATACGCTCTCCACCCCCCACTGGTCCCTGCCTGGAAAACTCATCTCAGCTCTTCCGTTCCTCACAGCTATATCAACACGGACACCTGCCCCTGGCTCCTAGCAGTGTTTTATGGCCTGCGGGGCCGCCCAGCCCAGCCCAGCCCAGCCCAGCCCCGGCCCGGCTCAGCCTCGCCCGTCCCTCACGCCCCGCAGCCCGAGCGCAGACCCCGGCGTGGCCGCCGCTGCCCCTCACGGCGACCCCTCAGCAGCCGCTTCACGGCCCCGCCCCAGCCCCCGGGCGCGCTCCCGCCCTCCGCCCCGCCTCCTTATCGCCCGGCCGCAGACGTCTCCCTTATCGCCCCTATCTGCCTTATCGCCCACGGGCAGCGATACCGCCGCTCGCCCGGCCGCGCCCCTCCAGCGGCAGCCGGGTCCCGCCGCGGCGGTGGGCGCACGCTGAGAGCCGGCCCAGGGCGGAGCAGGGCGGAGGGGAGCGGCGCCCGGCCCCGCCCGGCCCGGCCCCTCCCTGCGCGGGGCTTTGTTCCCCCGCATGCAGCCCCCGCCCGGGAGGCGGCGCGGCGGGGGCGCCCCGGCGGCAGGCCCGCCCCGCGCGGTGCCCGCCGTCACTGCCGCGGGCGCTCGGGCCGCCGGCGCCTCCCCCGCCGCGGCGGCGGCCTGATGCGGCACCCGGCACCGCCCCGCCCGGCTTTTTCTCCCCTTCTCGCGGCGAGCCCTCCGCTCTGATATCTCCGGGGGCGAGGCGGGGGCGGTGACGCCCCGTGCCCGGAGCGCCGGCCATGCGGGGCGCGGCCCCCGGCGGCCCGGCAGCGGGCGGCAGGCGCTGAGTGCGGGCGCGGCGATGCCGATGCCGGGGGACGACGGGGCCGCGGCGGCCAGGCAGCCCCCGTCCGGCGAGGCGGCGGCACCGCGGGACGAGGAGCAGCAGGAGGAGGAAGGCGAGGAGGATCTTCGCGACGGCGGCGTCCCCTTCTTCGTCAACCGCGGCGGGCTGCCCGTGGATGAGCCCACCTGGGAGCGGATGTGGCGGCATGTGGGCAGGATCCACCCCGAGGGGGAGCGGGTGGCGCAGAGGATCCGGGGCGCCGCCGACCTGCCCAAGGTGAGACCCCCCCACCCCACCCCGGGGCTGCTGCGGCGCGGGGTCCCAGCGGAAGCGCCCGGAGCGGAGCGTCCCCGCCGGGCGGACAGAGGGAAGGGGGAAACGGCGGCATCCCGCTGGGAGGAGGCGCCCGCCTGTGCCCCTAGGAGGCCGGGAGCCCCGGCTCGGGAGCGGGCCCCGGGAAAAACGGGCCCCGGGACTGCTCTTGCTGGAAGCAAAGCCACACTTTAACTTGGAGTGCGAGAGGGCATCTGCGGGGCTCTGCCCTGTCTGGTGCGCCAGCAGCACCCTCTTCTTCTGCGGCCTTGCTGGAAAACGGACTTCAGGTAGCTAATGTGTGAGCAGCCCGCAGGGCAAAGGGGGGGAATGGGCAGTGGCTAAAGAGAAAGACTGGATAAATGATGAAAAGATGAGGAGAGTTAAATTTAGAAGAGCCCAAATACCGGAGGTGGGGGATTGAGACAGACGGAGGTGAGACTTTGCACATGAAGAAATTTGGTTTGGGTACAGTTTCCCACCCCAAAAGGCATTCTGGAACAGAACTGTGTCTGTCAGAAAAGACTTTTGATGCCAAGCATTTTAGAGGAGTTAGCAAACGCTTGCAGAGCTTATTGTTGGTATAGGGTTAGGTATGATTTCCAAGCATACTCCTGGCCTTGTTGCAGAGAACTCTGAAAAGAGGAACCACTGACCATTTCACTGAGCCTTGTACCATACTGAAACATTTCAGTGTGAATTCTTGTGATTGTTGCTATCTGTATTGCATCTCAGCTGGAGAAAAATCTCTCCCTTTTATTGGCATACTGTGAACAAAAGACACTGCAAACATTTGGTGTGTCACTCCATTGGCAGGTTATAAGAGTATTCCCATCACTCTAATAGGGGAAATTCAGATACAAAAAGATGATGCTTTTTCATCTCAGGCTTTTTTAGCAAGGACTTACCTCCTTGGCAAGGTAAGTTGAAGTATGGAAGAACATGCTATTATATACTACACAGACAATCCATACTGCTTTCCATGAGGAATTCTGGAGAAGCATGTGATGCAACATCCTTTGTGCAGTGAAGAGTCAGAGGCATCAGTGGCAGCAGCTGGAGCAAATCTTGAGTCCTGATTACAGTCCCTATTCTAACTCCATTAGACTTATCCTTCCTTTTCAGGTTTCCTTCCTTTCCTGTGACTTTGTCCTGAGCCTAGGTGAAGGCTGAAAACATGTTTCAGATCAGTCAGAACACACACTACCTAGTTTCCTGACCATAAGGATTGATTTGGTCAAAAATGGTGAAGGAAATGGAAAAAGAAGGCGACAAACAAGACTCCAGTGAATGATGGGTGGGGAAATACAGTGTTCAGTCCCTTGTTTTGGTCTTATGTGAAGAAGTTCCCCTGTTCTCACTTTAGAGTCTTCATCCAAGAGGGTTGTAGTTAGGGGACACCAGTGGTCTGAGGTCTTGTGGTAAGAGGCAAATTTGGGCTGTTTTGTTTTGAGGATTGTTGGGTTTTGGGTTGTTGAGGCGTTTTTTGCATCTGCTAGCACCCCTGGGAAATGGATCTGTAAACTGTATTCAGCACTCTGCCACCTGAGATGCCATTCCCAAGCTCACTCAGCACATATAGCTGGGAGGATACTGGAATTCAAGAAACCACAAGGATGGATGAGCTCTGTTTCCTTAGCTCCTTCTTCCCTGTAGGGATGTTTTTTTCTTTGAGGGGTGCTTATCGCTACTTGTCTCCGTGCCATCAAGTTTCTTTGAAAGGCTGGTGCAACAGATGAGAATCAGGGCAGTAAGTGTACTCTGCAAGGCTAGCTCTTTTGAAAAGCCAGGTAGCCAGGTTCTCTCTATGTGCTGGAGGGTGAATAGTCCTTTTTAAGTGTTGGGAATGGCAGGGTGACTTACCTACTCCAAAATTTTGACCATGGATTGTAGCTGGCATTGGTTGCTGGGGAAACAGCTCTCAAAAAAGCTGTCAATAAACTAAAATACTATAAAATGACTGGAGGAGGCTGTGATTAGACACATGTTTACAGATCAGCTTCAGGGGCTGTGTCTCTCACTGGAGTCTGAGAGCTCAGAGAGCTCCTATAGTCTCTATCTCCTTCCAGTAGACTTGGGGTCAATGCCACTCTCCTGTAGGTTGTGTTCTTTCCAGCAACAGGGTGGGGTATTGCCTTGCTTCAAGCTGCTGAAGCCATCTAATGGGTCCAAGCTGGAAGTACAAAGTGATGTGTGCTTGGCTCATAAAGAAATCATGGATTTTAAATGAGATGGTTATGAGGGCAAAGACAGGAAGAGTTGCATCTAATGGATTCAGAACAAGAGAGCCAGAAAAAATAATCTGTTTTTTTCAGTCAGGCTCTCAACCAAGGCTGATACTGCTCCTGTGTTATTTGCAGAAGGAAGAGCAGGGAGGAGCTTGGATACACATGAGTACCATAAAAGAAACTGTTGCTAAACTAGGCTGGCCAGAAGAGCACCTCTGTGATACGGATAAGGGTGGAGCTTTGCCTGAGCCTCGCTCCCATGTGCCTTTCCTCACATACAGCATGGCACACTTGTATATGAAAATCTTGGTTGTTCTTAGAATCCCCTTTCTAAAAGCAGAGTGCCAATCCTTTGCATATAGACAGCCTGCCAGGGTGCATGAATCTAGGAGTGGGGTGATGCAGCTACTCCACACAAGTGATGAGCAACCAAGGGTGTGTTCATTTGGTCTGCTAAGCCTGGCAGAGGTTATCTACTTTGGGAAATCTGGGCTCTCTTCAACTTTCATAACAGCTAAAGGGAAGTCAAAATAGATCTGATTGCCTATTTTTTTCTGTTATAAATAAATTCTCTCTGCTTTCTGAAGGACTGTGAAAGCTAACTAATATTTATAGCTCTTTGGAGATATGCCCTGGATGATGCTGGGGAAGAAAAAAGTATAAGGATCTCTTTTCCTGTCAGTGTGGAATTGAGGGATGGAGAACTTATTCCTCTACTTCTGCTTCTATTGTCCTATTAAAATGCTATAGACCTGATGCAAAAAGAAACTGTAGCCCAGTCTGGGCTGCAGGCCCAGATCTGAGAGAGAGCACAGTGTACTTTCATCAGTTTAATTACTTGAGGTGCAGGAGGCTCTTCCACATTAACTAGTCCCCTGCTGAACTGATTGCCATTATGCTGTCTCAGTGTTGTGCAGTCCTTTGAGGAAAAGAGATCGGGGGTCTGTACTAGTAAAGGGAGGAGGAACTACCCAGAATCATTAGTCTCTGCTGTCAACATGCACTTAATGTCTGTCTCCACTGAGAAGCATTAAAGTCTCCATGCTGAAGAAAAAAAAAGCAAAATTAAATAGTCAGCCTGCCCTGATTGTTACCTCTTTCGTTGTTTCTGCCTGGAAATTATTTCCTATGACTCAGTGTGTCAGCTCACAGCATCCAAACTGACTCAGCTCATGCACTACCAGAGATGGCTCCATTCCTGTGCCATTCTCTGGAGCCTTCCCTGCTCCTGCTGCAGCTGAACAAACCCAGTTTCACATCTGCTCCTACCGTGCCTGTGCTGCCCCCTGCGAGTGAGGCAGCTGGTGCCTCTGTGTGATGGGAGAGGCAGCACCTCAAGGTTTAGAGGTCTCTGGTCCTTGTACCGTGGGGGAGCACAAGCAGAGTGCAACCATGTGGCCAGCCAGGAAAGGGAACTGATCTGGCTGAAAGCTACCCATGCTTGCTGGCTCAGCTTTCAGCTGCTCCAGGTGCCTGACCTGGTTCACCAGTCACTTGTACCAACACACAGGAGAGAAGAAGGAGGTGTATGGAAATGAGTGGCCACAGAAATACATGTGAAGGGTGCACTAAGCAGTACCACTGGCTATGAAACCATGTCCAGCAGAGGCAGTTGTGCACAGCAGAGTGGAAGGCTCAAAGGAAGAACTAGCTCTGACTCACTCTTTCATAGCTGTGGATGGGCCAGCTCTGGGGGAAGTCTGAGGAGGAACTGAAATGTTAAAACTGAGAAAAGATGCAGTCTGATATTAGCAAGGTGCATACAAGGCATGAGCTGTCTTTCAGAGAGAAAATATTGGGCTGCTTCTCCAAGCCTATCAGTCATCCCAAACTTGTCTTCTTTTTATTTGTCCTGTGGAACAGGTCCCTTCTCTTTCCTTAGAAAGGCTGTGTTCTGGGAATGAGATTTTCTCAGCTGCTGACAAGACTGTGGCTATCCCGTGCAGAGCAAGTGGTGAAAATTATGAGGAAAATCTGACTGGACCCATAAGGCTGAGGCCTCAGAATGGGACAGCAGTCTGAAAGGTGAACATCCAGAAGTCATTCTCTGACCATGTAATTCAAAACACCAGACACTGCAGGGCAGGGAGTCATGCTGTCAAGCCTGTGTCCTAGTCAGTGCCAACTCATCTGAATTGCCAGGAAGCAGTGAAGGACCTTTCTACCCTTGCTTGCAGGACTGTTCCACCCTCTGGTGATATTGGAAAACTCATTGTCCTGTTTTGCCTCTTTCTTTTATTTTTGTTTTGTGCCTTTCAGTTTCAATACTCAAATGAGGCCACACTCCCTTAGATGATTGCTTTCCTGTCTTGTATCTTGCCTTGTCAGTCAATTCTATCTATTTTGTCCAATGTAACATTGCATAAATGTAAGACCTTTTCACATAGTTTCTCTTGCAGCTCTGTGGTGATGCCTCATTCTGAATCCCTTCCCAATTTCCCTTGTGGAAATAGAGGAATGTTCCTTGTGTGGTTACTTTGGGCAGCAAAAAGGGTCTGGTTTCAGAGGAACATGCTCCCTATAGCTTTGCGCCACTGAGTTCAGCAAGAAGCTGGAGAGGTTTGGAAGAAGTGATTTATGTTCTGCTCCTCATTTCAGATTCCCATACCAAGTGTGCCTGTGTTCCAGCCATCCACCCCCATCCCTGAGCGCCTGGAAGCTGTGCAGCGCTACATCAGGGAGCTTCAGTATCCTTTGCTGTTACCTTGCTCACTGGGGTGATAACCCAGAAGAAAGAGCAAGAGGACTTTCTTTCCCTGTGACAAACAGAAAGGCTCCTCCTGTTGTAACTGAAGGAGAACTGAAACTTGTTCCCTGAAAACAGGAAGCTGGACTTGGGATAATGTTTTCTTTTGCTGCTCCATTTCTTTTCTTTTTTTGCCCAAGTTACCTTCTGGTTCACTGCATGTAACAAATAAGCATGTTGTCAAAGGCCTTTCCCCACTACCCACTCTTCTAGGTCAGTGGCTTTACAGTGGTATTTCATTAAAAACACACATATCTGAGATCCTGACAGCCAAGTGTCAGATGTACTGCAAACTGCATCACCTCATTGTTAAGGTGTGGGTGAGCTGTGGTGATGGGCAAAACTTCTCAGGTCATCCTACTCAATCACTCTTCTCTGTCTAAACAACACTCAGCCACCCTGATTTTATGCATCTGTGGTATGTTGCCCCTTTATATGCAGAGCTGCCTGTGTGGCTGTGTTCTGAGAATGAGATTTCTCCATTCCTGTTTTGCTGGAGAGCAGGTATATGCCATGCAAACAGTCTAATCTCACTGATGAGATACAGATCTATCTCTGGCTTCAGCCCTAATTCAAGGTAAGAAGGCTGACCTTTTGGCATCTCTCACCCATCCAGGGTGGTTGTGCTCTGGATTGGATCCCAGTTAATCTTAGAATAAGGTACCATGAATGTTTCATTGCTCCATGTATTATGTGCAGATTGGAGCAGGAAGAGATTTATCAAACTGTTCTGCCCTGGTAACGGGAAAGCTGAGCAGAGCATGTGCTGTCAGCATAAACCTTTGGGAATTGGAGTGGAAACCCGTGTGTGGGTATGAGGAAGAGAAGAATTGACAAGGAAATACATAAGGAGGATGTGTAAGTGGGGGAAATGCAGAAAAGTGAGGTAGGGATTTTCTTGTGTTGCTGCTACATTTGTGGGATCATGACTCTGCTGTGAGAATAGTAATTAACATGAACGTCTTTCAGACAAGTTTTCTTCAAACTCTACTTTCCGAGCTGCCAAGCCCTTAACTTCTTGCTTCCAGGTACAATCACACTGGGACACAATTCTTTGAGATTAAGAAGAGCAGACCTCTGACTGGGTAAGTGCTGGCAGTCTCTAGAGCATTTAATCCTTTCTTTGTCATTGGAGCCCTGCTATACACACTGCTTTTTCTCCATCCCCTGCCCAAGGTCTAGAGGCACTTAGGGCTTTCATTACTGCAGCTGCATCCTGCTTAGGGTAACTGTATTGTCTGTTGCCTGGGGCATAGCTGTGTCTGGTCTTCCTCAAGAGTAGAGTTTTTTGTCAGGAATCAGTAAATCGAGTAGGCCAAAAATAATATATTGCAAAAATGTGCATATTCTGCCTGCTTCTAATTGGAATGCAACTATATGAACTTCTGGGGGATTCTGAAATTAGGTCCTGCTCTACAAAAACTTTGTTAAAGCCAAGTATCTTTGCAGGTCTGATTTCATAGCTCCTGTGAGTGCTTTTGCAGAATGTAGGCTCACTAAGCTTTTGGTGATTCATACTTGGAATGAGAAAGGGTATTCTCCTCATTGAAGATTTTGGGAACTGCTGTGCCCCAGAAGTCCCTGGCAATAAGCACCTGATGTTCATTGACTCTCTTGAAGAGCATATGGAGAGTCTCCCAAGACTGACTTACTATTGGTCTAGTCCATAGATTTATGTGGGTTTAAATGCCTTGTTTTGTAATCAGTACCATGTCTCCTCCATGGTACTCACTGAATAGAGACTAGGGTTAATGCCAGAGAAGAAGGCCTTATTGTCCTTAAGCCTCGTGTGGCAAACACTTTGAGGCTTTTACTTGTGGAGACATTGGTGCTGTGGTCTCCCTGAGAACCCAGCTTGGCCAGTAAGTAGTTTTGCTGCAACTCACTGAAGTGAATTCCTAGGAAGTAACAACAGCATGTGGCAGAGACCTGGTTTGGATTTAATATCTTCTTTAAGAAGATACTTTGTTCTGTTTCCTATCCTCTGTGGACCACCCTCTCTCCTGGAAACCGACCTATAGTACAAAAGGGCTGAACTGGCCACAGTGCATAGCACAAGCCCTAACTGTCCTCATCTTTCCCTTGTCCTACTCTGCAGGCTGATGGACCTGGCCAAAGAAATGACCAAAGAGGCCCTGCCAATAAAATGCCTGGAAGCTGTGATCCTGGGAATGTATCCTTTCCTCTTGGAGTTGTGCATGTCTGCCCATCCTTGTGTTTTTGCCTCTGCTCTCTTGCTTGTGATGCTTTGAGGATGGTGATAATATTGACACCAAGCCCCACATTCCTTTTTTTTTTCCTCCCCAGTTCTCTCACAAAAGACCACCAATGAAATCCAAAACCAAGCAATTCTCTAAAGTATCAGAACAACTTTGGAGTTGCTCCTCCTTCACCAAGAAGGGTGGTGATGCTCTGGTCAGCCATATAAGATTATAAAAGATAAAAGAGGATCTAAAGAGGAGCAAAAACACTAGCTAGAGTTAGGTCAGGAAATCCTTTGTGGATAGCATTGTTCCCTTACTGCCTGTATGTGTTCTGCATTAAAATAACTTATGGATCCTCCCCAACTTCTAATTATGGTGTATGTCACTTACTAGCTTAGGCAATACCTTTATTAGATCTAGATGTGTATTATCTTTAAGTACACATCTTTCCTAGCTATCTTCCAGATTTAGTTTGTGGTACTTGGGCTGTACGTTCTTCATGCACCTGGAGGGGCAGAGATGGTGAAAGAATGGTTCAAAAGCAGCGGTTGGTGAGTTTTTATCCTGAAGGTGTATGAAACAGTAGCTAGTGAAACAGATTAAAACACACCGAGGAATAATGCTGCAGTGTTAACAGTTGGGGAGCTATGGAATACAGTACACTTAAGGTGCTAGCATTGCAACTTCTGCATCACAGAACTGCATCAAAATTAACTTCTCTTTATTGACTCTCTCCTTGAAGAGGCCAAGTCTGTTTTATCCATAACCCAGATGAAAGTAGGGCAGCTTGCAATGAGCTGGGCTCTTGACCTGGAGAACAAATCCTGTCTATGTGATGCCTGAATCAATGGGGAATCTGCTAAGCATGCTGGGAGGGTCTGGAGCAGGTAGGATGTGTCTTGTCAGGAAACTGTTACCACCAGTTATTTCCTGAATAATGGCTGCTGTCAGTTACCTCACCAACAACATGACCACACTGGACCGTTTCCCCATCAGCTTCAAAACGCACTTCTCAGGGAACTACTTCCGACACATCGTGCTGGGGGTGAACTTTGGCGGCCGCTACGGGGCACTGGGCATCAGCCGCCGCGAGGAGCTGATGTACAAAGCACCTGTCTTCCGCACACTGAGCGAACTCATCTTTGACTTCGAGGAGGCCTATCGCCGCTGCTGGCACACGCTGAAAAAGGTGAAGCTGGGCCACTGCGTGTCCCATGACCCACACAGTGTGGAGCAGATTGAGTGGAAGCGCTCCATCCTGGATCTGGACAAGCTAACGCGGGAAGACTTTCGCAAAGAGCTCGAGAGACATGCCCGTGATATGAGGCTGAAGGTAAGCAGCAAGGATGGAGTAACTCACTGCTACATCCACTGCCTTGCCTGGCTGCTTGGTGTACTGGGGGAATGCAGTGACAGAAAACTTTCTACTTCTAGATGTGTGGAGTAGAAAGTGAATTGGAGGCTGGGGCCTCTTTCTTACTGAACACCACCCACTTTATACAGGCTGGTCCCCTAACGGTTGCTTGTGCAGTGCTGCAGTTGTGATTAGGTTGGACTGTATACAGTCCTTGGAGCCATAGCTGTCACTGTAACTTGTTTTTTCTGGCTTTTGCATTTTTGATGCACTTGCCTTGCCTTTTTGTCTTTTTTTTTTTTTTTACACATATAATAAATCATGGTTAGGTTTTGTAGGTTTTGTTATTACTCACATTAAGAGCTCACACAGCTCTTAATTTTATTTTTCTGGCAGATTGGGAAAGGAACTGGACCGCCATCTCCCACCAAGGACAGAAAGAAAGATGTCTCCTCCCCACAAAGAGGTCAGGCCAGCCCCCATCGGCGAAACAGCCGTGGGGACCGACGGTGAGTGAGGCTGCTGGGCAGGAGACCTATCTAGACCATCTGTTTTACTCAGACTCCACCTTGCCATTTGGTTTTGGATTCTTCTGATGTCCTACTGGGTTTCTTTAGAACAGTGGATATTTCTCTGACCTGCAGTAGCATTCTTCCCTAGTCAGTACCATTGTGAGTTTATCATTGCTTAGGGATTTGAGGGGACAGCTGGGGTTTTTGCTTGCTTGTTTTGGCAGGGAGGAGGAGGCAGCTCAAACAGACAGTGATGCTGGTAGCTGACTTTTAACCTTATGCATGGGTCTGAGCTCTGGTGTCTCTCACAGACCTGTGCCTCAAGAGATTCCAAAAATTATTCTGCTGTCAACAAGATTGTTTTCCTGATAATAACCTGGGGTTCCAGAGTGGACCTCCTACTTCCTAACTTGCATTCTGTTCTGTTGAGATCATTGGGAGAATTACTGGAAGCTGCAGAATAATCCTGTCCTCAGTAGTGCAGGATCAGTATGAAGCTCTGTACCTTTTCCTGTGCTGCCATCTCTACGTGCAGCATCACCTGACAGAAAACAGTTTCTGAAGAGCTGTTACCTTCTTTGCTCACAGGCCATCTGGTGAGAAGAAGCCTGCCGATTCCAAAGCCATGCCAGACCTCAATGGGTACCAGATCCGGGTATGAAGAGAGCTGTGCCTTGGGTGCCTGCCTCCACGGACTTCTTGCTGGCCACAGTTGGGACCTGGATCCACCTGCAGTGATTCTGACAAATGAAACAGGGGAGTGGGAGCAAAAGAGACTGCTGATTTTCCCAGGTGCTTACTAGTGGGCCAGTCCCAGAGCTGGATCCCATGGGTCCCAGAGGATTCGCCTGCCTGTTTCTGGGAGAGGTGACCATCTTAATTCACTTAAGTATTTTTAAAAAAAAAAAAAGGGAAAAAAAGAAAAAAATATGTACGTTAGTGGGAGTTCACTTCAGGAAGAATATTAAGTGAGTGAGGTCAGTGGACTTGCTATCTTTACCTTGACAGCAAGTAGATGGAGCATCTTGTCAACAGTACTTCTTCCCTGTGTGCAGTTTTCAACCCCTGCAAGGCCTGCAGGGCTGAGGGAGAAGTGATGCTGGAACAGGATGGCCCCTGAATCTTGTACAAAAACTCCTGGTTTTGTCATTATGAACACTTTGTTTATCATTGCTCTTGTGAGAGTAGGTCTGAATTTGCTCAGCCTGATTTATTGACCATACAAAGTCTTCTTATCCAGAAAAAACACATCTTGTATGTTTAGTCCTGCCTATTTCAAAGTATTTCATTGTCTCTGAGGGGTAGACAGTGGAATGCTAGTGAACTGTTGCTGTAGGCCCTTTGGTGGTTGAGTGGATCAGGATATGCCTATACCACTGCTACATGAAAACAGGCTTAGAGAGCTCAATTGTTCTAGCAATGGAGATGGGGCAAGTGGGGGCTGGTGGAGAACCTGAACTTCACATCATCTGTTCATCAGCCTTCTCTCTACTAACTTCTGGTGGCTGCTACTCAGAAAGCTTGTGGCAGACACTTCAGTCACTGAGGTACGAGTTTTAAGAGTAAAAAGTTAAAGAAGGATGTAATGATGTGAACAGGTTTTACAACCATTTTTTCCTTTCCACAAGGCTCTTGCTCCTTCCTCCCTGTTGTGTTAGTGCCAGAGTTGCATACACCTGTTTGTGAGAAGGTCTACTCAAGGAAATTGCAGCTGCTTTCCTGCCAGCTCACCTTGGAGCCTCCTGAAAGCAGTTTCCCACCCCAGTGCCAGAGCTGTGCTTGTGTTCCGGCTCTTTGGATAGCTGCAGTATGCAATAGCACCACTTATAGTAACCTTTCCCAAAGGGCTGGGCTGGGCCTTTCTGCCACTTGTGGCCTTACTTCCTATGCTTCTTTTGGGGGAGTGTTGTACTACTGATTCAGCAGTGTAATGCTTGTCAGAAATCTGGAGTATTGTCAGGATCTCTCTGTCTGAGGCCTAGGCCACGGGAACAGTGGGATTTCCAGAAGTCAGAACAGCATGGTCTTAAAGTGATTTGGATGCATGGATCTGGGGGATGCATAAACTGAGCTTGGGAGTGGGAGTATCCTGGAGAGAAACAGTCTTGTTTTATCACAGCACTGACAAGGAGCTACACTTTCTGAAATACCACATATTTAATTTTGTTAGATCTGAGTTTATTCTTTCCTTTGTTTGTTAGAAACATGATCGAGCTTAGCTCTACTAGTTTTTTTGTTACAGTATTCCTGTGCCACATCCTCATAATAAGTAGAGCTATTTTGGTGGCAGAGAATGGATTCTTAACCCCAAACAAATCAGCTCTTCTGCCTAGTTAAAGCAGTTAATCCTCGAAGCACCACCCACAAGCGATTTAACTCAGACCTTACAGGTTCCTAATTGTCCATCCTTAACTGTGATGTAACTTGCAAGACGTATCCATACCACTGCAGTCAGTCCTTCCAAGCTCCCTTTGTAGTCTGTACTTTTGTGCTGTACAACCAAGAGGAAAATCTGTAAGAAGGAGGCAGAACTTGCTGCTGAGCCAAGAGAAGGTTAATCCAGAAGAGGATGCCAGTTTCCACAGTACAGTGCAACACCGGTCCACTCCCTTTTATTCCAGCTACATGCAACAACTGAAGTTAACTGCAGCAGGAGCCAAGCACCCATTTGAACGTGTCCTCTGGTCATTTTTGTGTGGCTGTAAATTAACATGTTTAGTGTCTGGATGCTAACAATGATGCAGCCTTTACAGCTAACATCATTGTTAGCATCCAGACACTGAATATGTCAAAAGCTACCTGTAAATAACATGGGCCACTTGGAAGCCACAAACTGCCTTTGCATAATGTTTACTATGCAGCGGACTGAAAGTTCAGATGCCACTGTGAATCATATGATAAATACAAGCAGCAGTCAGCAAGGGGAAACTGACTGTCAGGTTTTGTTATAAAGTGGATGAAATCCAGAATTTAAAGACAATTATAAAAGATGCCTAGAATGCATCTTAACTATGACTTTGTTTCTTCAATTGGTTAGTTAATTCAGAATAACTGGAGAGCTCTTGAGAGTAACTAGTCGTTTAATACAGAGAACATTGAGCTTTTTTAGACAGGGGAAATGTGGGGGTGAGAGGAAGACTGCAACAGATGAGACAAGTGAGGGGTCAGCTGCAAGTTAATGATGCTTTCTTGAGAGCAGGGCAACAGGGGTGTTCAGCAGCATTAGATCACCAAGGCAGAATGGCTTAAAACAAAATGCTTTGTTTGACTTTGTAATTAAGAGCTTTCCTGCAGGATGTAACTGAGGCCAATAGCTTAGAAAAAGCTATTAGCTTAGAAAAAGCAAAGGAAATGGATGTTTAAGATATGAATGACAGGTAGAGTTCAAGGTCTCTTAATCCTCAGCTGCAGCTAGACAAGAACATCCTCTTTCAAGATCTAGTTGCACAATTATATATGTTACGAAGTATTTCATTCTTTGCTTGTATCTAATGTTGATTAACTTCTCAAGATGGATACAGGAGCAGACAGGGTTACTATTTCAGGCCTTTTACTGTGTTTCTCTGTGTAGAATTCCTGCTCCTTACTGTTTCTGTATCTCCAGCTCAGGAAATGGTACAAGAAACTGGAAAAGGACCATAGAGTTCTCCCCTTCTTGCTCTTGCTCCCCCCATCTTTGTAACAGGATGAATCACTTCAATACAAAGCTTTGCTTCCTTCCTAACAAACCAAACTACATCCTTCCATGACAGAGAGAATTAATGCAATCTAGCTTTATGCTGTAAGGAAGCTGAGGGTACAGTGCAAGACAAAGTTTGGCACTTCGACTTCTTTCCTCCCCCACCTACTTGGTCTGGTTTCTGGTCTGTCTGCCTTTAACCATAAGGAAGAAAGGCTGGTGATGAGAGTCTTTTTCACTTCTGCAGGCTTTAGAGCTACACAGAAGGAATGATAATGTAAGTCATACTCCTTTAGTGCCTGCAGAACAAGGAAGATGGATCTCAAGGAGTCCTATTAATTTTTTAATGTTAAATATTAATAGAGTCGCTCATATAGCTCTGTGATCTAAATTTCACTGTTCAGTAGGTTTCACATGATATCTGTTCTGCAGTACAAGTCCTGTGAACTCTGTGGAAAGGAACTGTGTTTGTACACTAGGAATGGATAGACACTGCCTGCATTGTATGTGAAGCTGAGGTGAGCTTTGAAAGACTTCAACAAATGCTGACCTATTACTGGCAAAACTATTCTAAATGTAATGCAAACCTTGAAATAAGAGCCCCTCTTTATGCTTTTATGTAGACAAGTCCCTTGATACCTGGCCAACTGCAATTTTTTTAATGGACAGATTCATTAATTGAGCAAAACTTTCTGCTACAGCATCACTCTGATACAAACTTTGTATATTAAAGAGCAGGGTTGGGTGTCCATCAGTCTGTGACATACTAACTTTTCTTTTTTTTTACTGGTAGAAGCTAAAGGAGTCTTTAGGAAATTGGTGTGTGTTAGCAAGTGTTTTAGGTGGGAGTGGAGTGCTTTTTTTTCAGTTACTATTTTACCTATGGGCCAGGGTATGGGTCAGTACCGTTTCCTTGGATCTATCAGAATAAATGAATCCAGAACTGTAGTTGAAACAGTTTCTGTTCACATAATAGTTGTGTTGCTGTTTTCAAATCTGCTTAACAGGATGAATTTTAAGTATTTCAGGTGAAAGCCTTAATCAGGTGCCTGCCCCCTAAGGCAGATTCATGTGTGGTGTGGTGTGGTGTGGTATAGACTGGAATATGACTGTCCTTAAAATTTCAGAGTTTAAGAAACCATAATGAACAGAAGAAAGCTCCTGTTAGCCAAAGGGCAAGAGTCTGGATTAGACTGGCTTGACCTTGCTCCAGTGGCTCTGGCTAGTCACTTCAGGTGGTTGCTCTAGCTACCTGCTTCTTCTGAGTGAAGTATTTCAAGTGGTCCTGATGATCAAACTGTAGGTATAGGCAGGGGGTGTCCCAGGTGTATTGTGTGTGCAAGTCTGGCTGAAATAACACCACACATCCCAGTGGCCTTGCACTGTAGTCCTGACAACATTTAGACCTGCATTATGGATTTATCACTTTACTTAACAAAGCAAGTGCTATTCTGGCTTGATGTTTACTCTCCCAGAGAAAGGTGGAGATGGCCCCTCTACAGCCAAGCTGAACTCCTTAAGGAATTTAATATTTTTGTGTGTCTTCTGAGCAGGTGTTTACTTGTATCACAGCCACTCTCCTTCAGTGGTGCCCCAGCCCTTTCTGCTCCAGAGCAACGCAGTTTAGGCTCAGAAGGCTCCTGAATCCCCCATAATCTCTGCAGAGCAGAGTTTCCCTCCAGGTCAGGGTTGAGATGGTGCTAGTGGGACCAGAGCGGTCCCCTTCCATGCACACCAGTATTCCACTCCAGCACCGATAGGGTGCTGCAAAACCATTTACATCTTTATCACTGGTACAGCTCAGAACTAAGAAATTGAAAGTTTCTTTCTTTAAGAACAGTATCATGTGTGTCTTTTTGTAATTAATCAGTGTGGTTCTGTGTTCTTATGTAGCCAACACAGAATTTTTATTTAGATTTAGGTTTTTACTGCACTTCCCATGGCCTTCATGTTGATACTTCTTCCAGCTTCCTTTGACACTTAGACAATAAAATTCCCTCTGTACTGCTCTCAGCTTGTGCAGAGAAAACAAGTTGTCTGTACTGTCCTTCTTTTTGCTTTAAACCTTCCCATTACATGTCAGCAGAAAGTCAAAGCCTTGAGTGATGGTATCAGGCAAATTATGTAGAGATGTCCTTTACTTGGTACACTAGTGGACATGGAAGAACCCTCATCCTCCTTTAATCATCTGAATAGGTGAGTATGTCTGTGCACACAGAGGCAGTTGCCAGAGTAAGTATGTATGTGGCTGTTTAGCAAAGAAATTTAAGTTTTCCCTCTTGAACTGCCATCAGTCAGGCTGGATGGAAAAAAAAATCAGTGCAGGCAGCATGAAAAATTTCACTCTTACAATACACTACCAAACAATACCATAAGGGTTAATATAAACCTCTTCTTGCACTGCTCAACTTGTCTATGTGCAATTCAGTCTCCTTTCCTGGCCTGAAAAGCAATTCTCCTCAAAGTCTGCTTAGTGACTTTCCAGACTAATGACCTCACCAGGACTGCTCAAGACAAATGCTGGGTTAATAAAGGACAGTCAGCTGCAAGATTCAGTGCAAGGATCCCCAGCAAGGGGATCCAACTTTATTCAGGCTATCATCTTTCAGGCATAACATACCCCTTCTCTCTAGGGAAATGAGTAAGAGCTGGGACCAGGGCCAGTATGTAGGCAAGCCTACAGTGTGTATAGGAAAGGAATAAGCATTCTCTGACCTGTTATTCCAAAGAGAAAGGCACATGCAATAGTACATCTTAGCCAAGTTAATTATATGAACTGCTTCTGCCCTGAGGGAAAGCAAATGCACAGTTCTAAGCATCTACTTCAGATGCTTGCTTGAAAACACTCTCTGCTCCATGCCTTACAGATTTTGGTTTAAATCAGGTAACTCCCATATCCCCTATGGATGTATAGATCAGGGTGGAGTGAGAACAGTGAAGCAGCCACAGACTTTCTGCTCCCTCTTACATCAGGCTTTTCCCCTGTGACTGGTTGTCCCTGCAGTTTTAGTTTTCAAGTAAGTTAGAGATTATGCTGCTTGGACCTTAAGTGGAAAATCTTCATTGTGGGAAGGATAAATAATATGTTGAAGCAGAAAATAAATTATAAACCCCAAGAAACAAAAAAACCACACCCTGTCAGTTTTTACACTGAGAGGCCCAAGACTTAAGGTTCTCACATGTCTAAAAGCACACAGAAATTCATTCATGAGAGAGTGAGACTGAGCCTTAAGAGCACCATTCATGCAGCAACTGCAGGATTATGACAGGCAAAGGCATATGACATGCTGTGGATAGCAGGCCATTACAGAATTAAGTTAACCAGGTTTGTTTTCCTGGATTATATTTTTATTTCGGCAAAGAGGGAGTGCTATCTTCTCTCTAACCTCCTTTTAAGGGAGGAAAGGAGGAGAGAAATAACTATAGAATAAATATTGCATTCATCTACTCCCAGTTCAAGAGCAGCTCCAGGCACTGGCCAATAACTAAATATATAGAATAAATATAAGGCTTTGCATCCAGAAAGAAAATAACAAAAAACTGAATAAAATTGCTAAGGTTTGAAGCCAAGGGCTTTTTGGGGTTTTGTTTTTTGGTGGGTTTTTGGTCTTTGGTTTGGTGGGGGTTTTTTTTTTGTTCTTTTTCTGGTGTATAGAAATTAAAGACTGGATGGAACAAATACATCTTTTGTTGTAGCATAAGCCAGTGTCTAGCTTAGTCCTCCCATCTGCCAGACTTGGACCTTGAAAGCTGCTGTGTTTGTCTTATCAAAGTTATAAAAAAAATTCCAGCTATTATACAAGAGTACAGAATGTACAGTCTAAATCTGAAAGAAAATAAATAAATTTTTAAATAAATAAAAAGAAAAATATCTTCAAGACTAGAATGACATTTTCAGTGGAAGCAGGAGGTCAACTTGCCTTGACAGGTGATGCCAAACATTTACAGCTGACAAAAGGAGTTAGAGGCATGCCAGCTGTTTAACCTGTCATCCTGGTTATGGTTGTAACAGGTGAGTTCCCTTCAGAAACTCAGTATCATAGTTAGAAACACAATGGAGAATATTCAAATCAGCTTGTGCATTTCAACATGACAGTGCTACAGGAAGCACTACAGGCCAGGCAGCTACAGTCTGGTAAGAAGCAGGTCACAGCCAGCAATTCAATTAGTCTGCACAACAGGAAGCCTGAAAGGAGAAGGTATCCCACTGAGGCTTGTGTGCTCCCCCTTGAGGTAAGCAACAAAAGGGTTCATTTGGATGACCCATGGATATGTCTGCAAATATCTAAACAGTACATCCACTAAATGTTCAATACTGAGGTGGTGGCATTGGGAGCAGTTATTGGACTGCAGCAACACCCTGCTTTGCAGACTGTTTGCCAACACCATCACCAACACATCGTTAGGAGCAGGATCATACCTTGATCCGCTGAGATGCTGAACTTCCGACCTCCTGGAGACTCCTCAGAGCAGACAAACCAAGGTCAAGTATATTTCAGAGCTCTGCCTCCACAAAGCAGGTGGCGTACAGAGCACTAACAATAAATCTGAAACTCCAGTTTTGTTGTTTTATATAACAAGTGTTACTCCCATCTATGTGTTGGTTCCAGAACTCCCAATCCTCCCACTTAATTTTTCAGATGTGAGGAAACCCACTATCTTACATCTTGACACCACGTATATGTTGCATTTATAATAACACTTAGCCCTAGAGAATTGCACCCATAACTTTTAACTGAAGAAATACAGCTGCAGAAAAAATAAACATCAGTAACTCAGAAAGATAACTGGATAGAGTAGTCATGGGAAAACAGCTGCTGGAGAGATAGCTCATAAGAAAAAGGCATGGAGAAAGAAGACCTCAAACAGCAGCCAAGTTTCATTTATTACAAAGAGGAAAGAAGATAGAGCAATTATATTGTTTACCACTCCTCCCATCTCATGTAATTGGGAAAACTGATTATGAAGGGCATCCTCCTGGAGCAATGAACTTAAAACTGAGAAAATGAAGGAAGTCCAACTTCTATCTAAATAGATTAACTAAATACAGCCTAGCAGCTGTGGTGCAAATTAAACTGTTTTTTAGTAAAGATACTTGGCCAAATACTTGTCTCAACAGCTGCATGCTCCTGCAGCTTAGGAGGCTGCTAAGAGGGAATGTACACACACTGCCAGCAGTCTCTGGCATCACTTCCCCTAAGCACCAGTCTCCCTGAACTCTACATCACTACTAAGGTCATGTAGCTGGTAATCACCTCTGTGACACCTTCCCTTTCTGAGCATTCCAGATACTGCTGCTCTACTTTCATAACCATTTACAGATCCCTCTGTAATTCATCAGAAAGTTGTGTTAATGAAAACTCATCATGCATTTAGGTCCAGAAACAGTTTTAAGAGCTACATCTGGAATCTCAGTTCTGCATCCCATTACAATGCTCATTACCACAGGCTCTGATTGTATGTGTGGGTGCTATCCTTTAAGCATCACAAAACACATTATTTTTCTCCCAACAACTATATGCTGGTTGCAATTTTACAGTTAGGAACTTTCTACCAATCCCACCTCCAAACCTCTCCTATAATCCCACACAGTCAAGAGATACTCACAGGTCTCTAGATCCATTTGATATTAACTCCAAATTGCTCTAGAACACAGGGGGTTTTATTTTCCTGAAACAGACCACCTTCATAAGAGTCCATACCAGAGCTCCTGTGACAGTGGTCAAAATAAACACAGAGATCAAGTTTTCAACTCTGCCTTTGTGTCTCTATACAGTCACTAGCCATGGTCCTGCATTTCTGCCACAGTTTCAGCTATGAGTGCCCAACAAAGCATGAGTAAGCCAGGGCTTTAAGAGCTGCAAGTCACCCTGGGAACACTATAACCTCCAGAAAGAAGAATAAGGGGACTTGTAGGCATTGTCCTGGGGTTTCTCTGCATGACTCGATATCCAGTGTTCAAAAACTTAACAATTCCAAGTGCATACCACATTATTTCATGCATGAAAAGAGAAAGCATTAGTTTGACCTGTGCAACATTAGATTTTCCAGCAAAATATAGCTGGAACCTTCAAAGCTCCCTGAGATGCTTCCACGCAATTTGCCCACAAGACAAAGTTTTGGTTTATATAAAATGGAAAGAGCACCTGTGATACTGGAACACAGATCCTCCACCTGAGTTGTATCACAGGACTGACAGGGTGCTTCAGGCAGTGCAGGCACAACCAGTTCGTCTGCTGGTGCATGGTGCACACCTTATGGGTCTCAAGAGAGCTGGAGCTGAGTCTGGCTCTCTTATGGGCAGCTTTCATACATACACACACACACACCCCTCCTCACCAACCGACCTCAGACTCGGGATAGCTAAAGTTCTAAGTGCCAACACTATGTGTCACAAAATTTTTTGTGGTGCTTTTGGTTGGTTGCTGCTAAACCTTTAGTGTCTTCTAAGGTTCCTATTAAAATGTTAACAGCAGGAGGGAGTCATATGCAACCAGGCTGCCTTCTAGCAACCTTTTTGAGCCAGATAGAAAACAAAGCTCTCAGCTCACCCTTTCCAATTTGCCCTCTTTCACCTTGTAGCCAGCAAAACCTTGTCCAGAAAGTCTTCAGAGGTTCAGCAGCCAGAAATACAAGGTGCCACAGTTACTCTGTGGTATTTTCTTAGATTACAGTATTTTATTTTTCAATCAGGAAAGTAACATTTAAAATATCAAAGTCCCTCAATACAGAGCATGAAGAACAAACAATGTTTTAAGTCTCCTGTACTTTCCTGCAAAAACCTGAGGTGGGACCGGATTTCCTGCCTTGTTTGTGAACAGAGGATTCATGTTTCTGCCAATATTGGTTTCTGCCAAGACTGGTTTCATCTCTTAGGGAAAAATTGAGCACCAAATGTCAGGTTGAACTGGGGAATTTACGCTAGGAACAGGTACAGCTTTTGTACTGGACAAAAAGCAGGACACCAAAGGTACACTGGGATCCAAGTGACTGCAGTCTGGGTCCAAGTTACACAGCCCTCCCGTCCCCCCAACACATGTCAAGAGTCAGGAGTTGATCATAAGGGTTCTATCTACACCTAAACATGGCTGGGTGCAGAAGGATGCAGTATGGACTTCAGTGTGGCACAGGAGATGGATACTGAAGGTTGGCTATTGACCCCTGGGCAGGCTGACTGCAATAGGGAGTGCACAAAGAACAGGGCAAGTGACAAGACCAGCTCTTCCATATGATGGCTCTGCTGACTCTCACATGCTTTCCATCTTCATCTCTCTTTTGGGACAACCAGAGTTATAGTGTTCTGGGGTAATCATGCCTTACAGGGTAATTTTTTCCACAAGATATTCACTGTGAGGGTCCTAAATATTTTTGCTAAAAATGACATATTAGGTACCATTCTGAGACTGCTAGAAAGGAAGGAAGCCTTCCCCAAGGCTTCTAGGCTTTTGCTGCAGCTCTAGAGCTGCTGTGAGTGGCTCTGTAGAACCCCTGGTTCCATTCCTGGCAATCCCATTCCCTGGTTGATTAGTCACAGCAAGCAATTTCTTGTAGAAACTGTTATACCACACAAACACTTCTGTCAGCAAGCCAGCCCTTACAGATCATTAAGTAAAAGACATTTCTAAGCAGTTAGCAGATCCAATCTAAAAGGCAACACAACAACTAGCCCTGAAAGTACTGAACTATTACTGAGAAATTAAAAGAATGAAAAGAACTTGTTTTGGTGTAAAAGAGTATTGGCATATACAGTCCATGCTCCTTGGTAGCAATTAAACTAACCAAAAGCAGATAGCATTGCCTGTCTCTTTTCCAGCTCCTTGAAAATCTTACACAGGGACAAATAACCATGGGCATTATGTTGGTTTCTGCAGCACAAAAACACCTGCTAACCAAGGCAGTGGAACAAGGATCTCTTAAAGAGATGTCAATGCCTGAATACACCTATCAGCCCACTGGGAACACAGCTCAGGTTTGAAGAGATGCAGAAAATACCAATGCAAAAAGTGCTCCAACTCCCCCATCCCTGCGTTTAGTGAGGGTGTGAGGGGAGAAAAGGACTTTTAGGGCATGACAAGGAAAAGGGTTTTCTTGCAAGCAGGTTGTGCAATCCAGAGTCTCGACTGCTGTATTCAGAACAACTTTTCTTTAGGGAAAGGGAACCAACACTAACTCTCTCTGAGGCTGGAGATCTCCAAGCCAAAGCTAGCCAGCAGGCAGAGATGATCAGATGAACAGAAAGGATTTGGTAAGCCATTTGCCATCAAGAGGACATCTTCAGAGAGAAGAGAAAGACGGCCAAGCAGCTTCAGGGCTCCATCCTTGTACAGCCTGCGACCTGACAAAGAAAATGGGAAGAAACATCAACCAGAGACTGGCACCACAGATTAACTCTACACACTCACAGAGGGATGCTTGTCAATCCTCTCCTGTTCTTTCCCTGATAAATGAAGACTGCCTGCACAAACACTACATGCACCCTTGAGCCTAGATGTGAAAGCAGGGTGCACCCTACAATACTGCTGTTCATGGTTTCATATACTTGCAGGCATAGAAAGCAAGAATACACTAAATTCACCAGGTAGTTGCTTACATGAGAAGTTCCTTTCTTGAACTGTGGCCTAGCAATAGCTTCAGATTCTCCCCTGAGGAGGAATTAATCTCTTCATTCCTAACCGGTTCCCCAAACTTGATTCTGACATGACCCAAATCAGCTCCAAGAGAGTTCCTGGATGCATTTACATGCAGTCGTTCATGAACAGAACTCCTGTTTCAGGCAGCAGAGAGAAGGTGCCACTGGAAAAGAACTGAAGTCATCTCCTTCCAAGAACAGCAAGCATGTGGTCTCAGAGTGACCAGAAGTCCAAGCCTTGAACTCAGGACCCAGCACTGCCTGTTAGCAGGAGCACAGGTAAGATACTTATACAGAGGAAAAGAATCTATTCTGTTCTAGCTTCCTCAGAAGTCTACATGAACGTAAGCAGCCTCATTTTTTTCACAGCAAAGATAAACAGTGTCTTCTCATGGTACATGAGCAAATGTTACTTCCACCTTGTGTATTATTTCAAAGACAGATCCTGTAGATCCACCAGCTAAAGAAATGCACTGCCCATCTGGCCTGTCTCATAGTCCTCTTCCAATGTCACAGAGATAAGCCCTGCACTGCCACACTCACCCGCCTTGTTCTCCACAGGCTCTGCTGAGTAGAAAATGTAATCAACAGTGGCTCCAAGCCCCATGGGCATTGTTGTGACCTCTGGGCGTCCCCTCTGTGGCAAGAAGTGGCTGTAGACAGAGGTCAGGTTGAGGCCATGCTGGATAACACCTGAACACCTGCACACAAACAGCCACCAAGAAAGGAAAGAGAATTATGCCTTTTTGGTACTGCAGTCATAGCTGAATGTTCCCTTGCTGATGCAACTGTCTGAACCACTCCTACTTTATGTGCACATAAAATCTTTCAGAACTATTCGCTCCACTTACACCAAAGCAAGACAGACTCTGAATTTCCTTTGCCTTCAATACCCAGTCCTGTACATGCCTATGCCCTTCATTCTCAATCTCACCAACATAATGCTGACAGAACAGCATCCTGCTGCTGGGACAATCCTGGATGGACCTAGCTCTTCCAGATAGCCCTCTTTACCCTCTTTCACTCTCACATTTACTTCAGTCGTTCCTTCAGCCAGATTTTCAGGAAAACAAGGCTGAGTTTGAAGACTGTGGCCATTGAAGGTGCACCAAGTTACCTTGGGACGAATGGCTGAGGATCAGGGTCTTTCACCATGGCAGCAGGCTTGGGCCAGTGTGCAGGGCGGTCTGCAAAGGAGCAAAGAGATTCCAGCCAGACCTACACAGATCCCAGAACAGGCTACTCATCCCAAGTCTGAGAAGCTTCTCCTGAAACCAAACGAATCTTCTTGCCCAAGAAGAGCAGATAGCTTTGAGTCATGAATATCATAAAGGAAAATATCCAAAAAAAACACAAGCTGTAAGACTAACAGGAGCATCTCTAGAGCAGATCAGTGCAAACAACTGAGAACTCATCTTCTGTCCTGCTGAGGACATGTCCTTAAAGCATTCAATATTACCAAAGTCCAGGGTATTTCAACATTTGCTCTCAAAAGAAAGTTTGCTTGTCTTAGCCTACAGCTTACTCAAACGGTGTCTAGAAAGGCAGAAAAGAAAAGGAGAAAGCAGAACCAGCCATGCCACAAGGCCCAGAGGTGCAGGAATGTCTACTGGGTACCAGCTTCCAGAGACATCTATATTGGGACCACCGTGTATCATTACAGTCTTCAGGTTGTTCTCTGCCACCAAAGTCTTGAAGCAGAAAAAAGAAATATACATATCTGTTTCAGCTTAAAAGAAGTTTAGAAGAAAGAGCTTCAAGAAGCTGAATATCAATGCATCTCAAACAACACAGTTAGTGTGTATGAGGGAGGAAAGTGTACTTCTCTGAGCTCTCATGAAATCTAATCATGGTCACAGAAGGCACCCTTCTGCCTTTCCCTTTCCTCACCAGGCATTACCTCCACCTCATGTTTACCTTGAAATCATAGAATCACACAGTTACAAAATGGCCTGGGCTGGAAGAGATCTTAAAGACCATCTAGTTCCATCCCTCCATCCCATGGGCAAGAATGTCACCCACTATATCAGGCTGCTCAGGGCCCCATACAACCTGGCCTTGAACATTTTCCAGGGGTGCGGCATCCACAACTTCTCAGGGCAACCTGACCCAATGCCTTCCTACCCTCTATGTAAAGAATTTTAGGAAGTTTAAAACCATTCCCCTTGTCCCATCACTATATGCTTGTGTAAATAGTCACTCTCCTTCATTTTTTATAAGCCCACTTTTAGTACTGGAAGGCCACAATGAGGCCTCAGTGGAGCCTTCTCTTCTCCAGTCCAAACTCTCTCAGTCTGTCCTCAGAAGAGAGGCTCCACTGAGCCAGGAGAGTGACAAGTTGCAAAGTCTCCCGTTAATACCTGGTTTAGCATCTGTCACACCTTCCAGGAGGACCAGCTGCGGCGGTCGCTCACAGGCAGCATCGCAAAAGCGGAACTGCAGCAGGAAGTCCCGGCTGTATTCGCGTCTCCCTGCAGAGAAAAGCACCAATTAAAAGAAAGTAACTGCAGCAAAGTCACACCTCCAGGGTGTGACCACCTGTATTTCAGACCTTTGGGCCTCTTAGAGCTCTTTAATTTGAGAGAGGCTTTTGTTCCCAAGCACTCTGATACCATGAGACTAGAATGGTATCAGGTTATCACCTGATAACCTACATGTAGAACAGATGTGTAAAAGTAGAAGAACAGAGCAAGCACATCTATTCCTATCCCTCAGATGCAACAGTCATTGTCAGCACAAAGTAAGAATGTCCTCTCCGAGACACCAAAAGTTCAAGGGACTTTCAAGCAGATCAGTTAGTGCACCTCCAAGAAATGTCTGCTGAGAAAAACATTTCTGGAGATCCAGGGTGAATTCAATATTTTAACAAAAGCTATTTTGTGTGGACTCCATTTTTTTTAGTCCTCTTAATGGATGCAGAGAAGAGACACGATTGTAACTGGATCTTAGGAATGATTTCTTTACAGTGGTTTGCAAATACTATCCAAAACCACACCCCAAACACCCGGAGATTAAAGCAATGCCTGCTGAACATAGTTTACAACTGCACAAAAGTGTAAGTCGGGGAATATGAAAGAGACATAGAGCAAGTGTTACTGGTAGAGGAACATTCTGCTCCTCACTAGAGAAAGAAAATGGCAGAAATCCAATAGGTTCTGGAAAAAAATGTATTTAACTCATATACAAAGTAGAAGGAGAGAATCTTTGTCAAGTTCCTCATGCAGCACATGCCCAAGCTACTCAGAGAGACAGCAAGGCCCACAAACTGCCCATTCTCAGCAAACTCATATTGTCAGTGAATACTGGAGCTCACCAGGTTTCTTTGGCTGGCACAGGGTGACATACTGGCACTTGTCTGTTACACCCAGTGAGCTTGGCCACAGTGGGGCCAGCAGCTTCCGTGAATACAATTGCTGGGAAAAGTCTTCCTGACCAGACACCTGCAAGAAGGCCAGGAAAGGAGAGCAAACATCAGTGACAGAGAGCAAATGCACAAGCTATAGACAATGTACATATATACACTTGCCAGGAGCAAGACAGGAGAATGCCCTCTTAGAAAGGCATGAGCTAAGCTACTCAGAGTATGGTAAAGCTATAGTAAACCTTCAGCTGTAGGGGACAGATATAATTAGCTAAAAGTCACCTGACAAGATACTTTACAGGTATCTTATTGAAGTGATGATTTAGCTTGAATGACAACCATATATTTGATCACAGACACACAGTAAGACAATCACAAGAGACCCACTTCGAACTTTTTTTAGAACAAACATCCACAAAAAAATTTCAGTAAGTCTTGGTGGAGTTGCATTTCCCTACACTTCCAGTCACACAGGCACAAAAATTCCATAGGAAAGGAAAAAAAAGATTTGATATTAAGTGATCTATTATCACAAGTGTGCCCCAAGAGAAACCAGAAGAGCAGTGATGGAAACAACATGCACGCACTTGTCTGCTTCTTTCCCCTGCAGCGCTGGAGACACTGGGGAAGACTGCTGAATCATTTTATTCAGTATTAAGACTATTTTCTCACAAGAGGAAGAATGCAGCCATGCATTTCTCTAGCAGCAGACAATAAAGAGCTATCCAATCCCAATTCTGGCTGGCAACTACCTTCCAGGCTGGCATCCCATGGTAGGAAAGTTCACCATTCCGGATGAATTTGTAGAGTGGAGAATCAGGTACAGAGTTCAGGTCTCCACACAAGATGACAGGATAGTAGCTGCCTTCAGTAGTTCTTGCAATTTTGTCAATCTCTGCTAGCAGCAATGCCACCTGGGCCAGTTTGATATCTCCTCGACGGGGATTGAACAACACATGAGTGTTGGCCACACACAGAGGACTGACTGCATTCAGACCTAGACCTTCTGGGAGCACCGGCTGCAGCAGCAGCACCAAGCCCACATTATCCCGGTTGAGGATGTCCAGGCCAGGCCGGAAGTATTCTATGGGGCTGAGACTGATCAGCTGGAACCTGCTGCGCTTATAGCACACTGCACATCCATCTGTCTTCGTCCCGGTTCTCCGTTTATAGAAACAAGCAAAGCCTGAAAAGAAACCAGCACCTGTTAAAAGGTTTATCCAGTCACTACCTCAGGCTCAGCAAGTCTGTATAGAAAAGGTTCCTACTACATTGGGGTACAGCAATATACCCAATTCTTTTCCAATAACCACCCTTCATTATTAATTATCGGAAGTATTTCCTCGCTCCTTGTCCTTCTAGGGCCCTCTGTTTTGTTATTCTTATCTTTCAACTCAGAGACATCAATTGCAAAAGAAAGGATAAAGGTCTAGGCAGATAGTTCAGAAGTAGGGCCAGCAGCCACCTGCAAACAGGAAGAGGTCTCTTGAAACTGAGCACTTTGAAGATGTTAAGCAGGAAGCACTGCTTGGCCAGTCCCATGAGCTGGATGTACAGACCCACAAAAGCAGGACATACCCATCTCCTTGAATGTTGGTTCCAGTTGCTCCCAGTAATGGTTCTCTTGCACCTCCTGGAGACACAGAACCTGGAAGGAAGGCAGAGACCTCACTTGCTCCACAAGTATTCGCTAGTCACCTTGTTTTGGGGAAGGAAGAAAGTGGAAAAGTGCATTCACACACCAACCCTCCAAACAGAAATGTCATCACTGCAACTCTGTCCCGTACTTTCCAGATGAAAAGCACTAACTTTCTGGGTCACAGTAGCACATCATTCAGTTTTCCAGCAATGAGATAAAAGATCCTTCATCCCACAAAGAGGACTCAAAGAATAAGAAATTCATGGAGTCCTCTTCTATGCAGACTTCTCCTCCTGTACTGCCTTAGAAGACAGGTCTTTCTTCCTCTACTTCTGGTGTTTATAAAAGTTAAGCCCTGCTATCTAAGTATGACTAGTTTCTACAACCAAAGCAAGACAGACACCAAAAACATAGTCTGTGAAAGTCCACACTCTCAGACCAATCAGTGTCCAGTTACCAAGCAGGCAGCATCTTCCTAGGACTTGCCCCCATCTTTTTCTTTTCTTAATACTGTTAGATCAAACAAGGAATTCGAATTCTGGTGACACTGATGTAGAGAGGGCTTAGTCATACTTACATCAGGATCCCAATGCTGGATCTCCTGCAAAAGGTTTGGAAGGCGGTAGCTCCAGTTCAGGATGTCTGGATGACAGTGTACATAGAGATCAAGGCCCTGCTCCACCAGGTCCTGGGCAAGGATGTTGTAAGACATGACTCGAAATTCAAACAGGGGAGTGTTTTCTGAGACCTGCTCTAAGACACAGGGCTGGACAGAAAGATCCTCCCAGTCTCTCCATAAGATCTCTATATGCAAGAGACAAAAAAGCAAAGTTACAGCCGCACTAGGTACCTTGCTGATACTTTGGCTCCCCTGGGATCCAGAGAACAGCCATTCTCATTCCCCAAGCTAGGGCACTCTAGCCTCTGAGCAAATCCACACCCACTCTGGTTTTCAGGTGCTCTTTCTGTATATCTATGGATAGTTGTCTGTAGGGATGCATAACACATGACCAGAGTCAAGCATACTGAAACACCAGACCCACTTTTCAGTGCTTCCTAGAGCGCAAAGCCATCATTTGGAAACAGTAAGGACCATATATTGATATTCAGACTAGACAGTCTCACAGCACAGAAACCACTAGCTGTGACCAGCCCCTCCTCAGCAAAAACTCACTTTACAGTTTTCACTAGCAGATCCTGTCAACTCTGCAGGGGCAATCAATGTCTTGCTGACAGCAAGCCCAAACACAATAACCTGACCACATTCATACAAATGCCAAACCCAAACTAAACATTAGACTCAGAGCCATCACTGACCATGGTAGGGCACCTCCAATGAGACAGGATAAAATGGCACCGCTTCCTGAATGGGCTGGGCTGGGAGCACTGGTGGCACTGCCTCTGCATCACATGCTAAACTCCAGGCCAGCACAGCTGGGTCATCATTCAGCACCTCCACGTTGATACCAGCACAGCCAGCTGTCTGGTGATCTGTCTGTGGGACCACAGCTGCCCACGGGGCACTGCCTGCTACAGTCACTGTTTCCTCTGATGGTAATCTGGCCAGTTCAGCCACTGCATGATCTTGCAGTTCTGAAGAAGCCAAGGCATTTAGCTCCAAGTGCTGCTGATCAGCACACTGGGTGAGTTCCGGAGATGTATTCAGGTCACTGAGGCTGGTCATCAATAGCTCTGAACCTTCTAACCAGTCACTAGTGAGTGTAACTGATACTTTCCTCACTGTTGGAACACTCTCACTGGCTGGCAAATTCCCTGCTCCTTCCTCCAGCCACTGCTGGAGAAGGGCTTCTTGCTCTTCTGGAACTGATCTTCCTCTGGCTGCAGCAAAGACACCTTCTATCTGGGTGGACGGGCTCTTCGCCAGAAGCACATTCTTTCGATAGGTAAAGAAAGCATCTGTCATTTAAAAACAAAATCGAAATCAAACAGCTAGAAATGCTTTCTTACTCATTATTTTCTTATTCCAACGCATTTGCTGTAACTCTGTGCAATACAACCATTCAGTATAGTAACCCAAACAAATTATTTCTCTGAGGGAAAACAGTTACAGTCTAAATAACTTCCCCTGCCTCCTCCAGAATGCTAAGCCACAGTCCAAATCCAGTCATATTAGTCCAAGTCACTGAAACTGCAAACAATAGCAATGGCTTTATCAAATCTAGAGAATGCAATTCTAACTCATGCAGCAGCACAGAGAGTCAGCCAAGCTGAAAGGCCTTGTGGAAATATCAGCTCTCAGCAACTTATGTAAAGGCAGTCTCTAAAAGTTAGTTGATCGTGCATGGGCTAAGAAGCTAAGGTCTTGGAGACCATCTTTTGGAGCAAGTTTCTTTCCAGGGACTGAGCAAGAAATAGCAGTCAGCTAAAAGAGTAAAATACATCACAAGAATGCATTGTAGAAGAAAAACCATTCTGTTACTAAGAGATGAAAAATGAAGACACATAGGGACCAACATATGCCTCATTAGAGAGAGTATATGCACAGAAGAAATCCTTATAAGAATTACAGATCACCTGATGACTGACATGTGGCAAAAAAATAAAACCATTTTAAACTGTTTTTAATGTAACATTGAACACAGTAATAGTTCTGCAGTAAAGTAGAAAAAGACAGAGATTCTGTTCACTTGCATCTATACAAGAGACGGCATTTACGCTTCGCTATGAATTCTGCACAGACACTTGTCTCTACTGTTAACTAGCAATTACTGTTGATTACAAATCACTTTTTTCTCTGCATCCCTGTCAGTCAGCCAGAGCAGTAACATAGAGGAGTCAGCAACATTCATGTATAGTTTTACTATATCTTTTGTGTCAAAGTTTTCTGTATGTGTCAGAAATGGAGCTTTAAGAACCATACTCCTCTGTCGGTTTGTAATTAAGTTCATTAATGTCAGAAACACCATCACACCAAGGTAATGTTTCCACACGCCCCTGACCAGGCACGATGAGTGCCTGCAAAAGCCTGTTAATACAAAATAGGAGCTGAATTTGAGAGAAGTCAGCTCGCTGCTCACTATGACAAAAGACAGCGTGCCAGTCCAGTATTTGCTACAGGCCCAGGGACAGGTTCAGGCTGGAAGGTGGCTTTACATGAGCTCAGTAATCAGGGATTGTAAAGTAGCAGCAGGATCTAGGGAAACTAAGTGAAATAGCGATGCACACGAAACATAAGTCCATCCACGAAGTCACCCGCAGGTCCTTGGGGGATCACAGATCTCTGAGCTGCCCATCTCCAAGTATCTCCCCCAGCCTGGAGAGCAGGCTGGCGGCAGGAGCTGGAGCCCCTGCGCAAAGCGCACTCTGCCTCTGCAGCACAACAGCCGGCAGCTGTTCCCTCCACGCACGCAGCTCCCCGCGCTGCCCG